CCCCCCCCCCCCCAGTAAATGTATATAACATCTGGCAGGAATTTTCTGGCTCAAACCCCAAAGGGAGTCAGGATTCTCTCAGAAAACTGTCTCCTTCCTGGAACAGACAAGAACAGACAACGTCTGTAGACAAATATCATGCATACTTTCATGCCAGATAAAGGTGACAGTTTTTCACTCTAACATCAATGAGAGATGAGGGCTATAAGACAAGAAGGGATTGAGATCTGACAAGGGCAAGGCTTGTTCTAACCCCATCTAATTTATACCTCCCCTATTGTGTTAAAGATTGCAGGAATAAACACTTGTTGAATCCTAAGAGAAACCACAGACTGTGAGCAATCTAAAATGAAGGTTACGTTTTATACATAATACTCTACAAATTTGCTTAACAGCTTCAACATGTTACTTGTCCTGCACTTTTTTCTTCTGACCATGTGAAAAATCAGATTAACAGGAAATGGTAACAGGAACTGATCAAGAAATAGACTCTAGTGCAGCGCACCCCACCTCATCTTCCGACTTGACAAAAAGTTCATCACGACTAATAAAATCAACCAACCGCTCCCTGGACAAGTCTTCAAACTCCTCGCTTTCTGACACTTGCAAAAAGTGACGAAACATAAACTTTTCAGCTGCCTTGGTTAAATCAACACAACCGTAAATCTCCGCGAAGTCTTTAATGCCAATGCAGTTCGAGGGATCAAGCTGTGATTGTAAAAAGTCGCAACAAGCCTTTTTGACTGGACAGATTTGTAATATACAAGCCACAGGTAGCAAATATTGTACATTTTCTTCAGTAATCTTAATCTGTGCTGTGTAAGCAAATTCGATCAAAAGTTCAACGCTTCTTGGATCCATCGACTTCAATGTGATACTGTTTTGGCGACTTTCCACGACGTCATTTGTAAACATTGCGTAGAAGTATGGGCTGAATGAGGCCAGGACAAGCTTATGAGCATAGATCTCGAGTTCTTCGACACGAAGAACGATGTCACATAATTCTCTCCTTTTTCGTAAATCGTTCATAACACCGAACGCTAATTTCATATGCTCTTCTAAGAAAACATTTTCTTCCATAGGATCCATTGCGAGTACACTAATATTTTACAACTTTGGTGTATATTTTTCTTGTGCAAAATATGTTTTGACTCCACTCCTCGTTTTTAGTTTGTATAGTGATTGGTAGCAGCCTCTGTTACATTGCGGGCGCTTTCCACTACGCATGCGCTGTTGAGGAAAACACCATTGACCCGAGAGTCACATTGGTGGCAATTGTGCGTCTTGAGCGCAGATTTCAGTATGAGGAGGAATTTTTCAGGTCTGAGTGAAGTCTTTGCAAGGTTACCTAGAGAGTGTGTTGTTGAGCCAGCTGATCTGCGTGTCCTTTTTTGCAGGCGGGAGGTATGAAAACCTCGACGAACCAAGCCCTCTCGATCTCAGCCGTGGTAAGTAAATTATGCTTATTTTTGGCCAATAAGGACTTCATGAAGTCGAAGGGCTCGTGGCTGTTTGGCTTTCATGTTATGCAGATTTTGTTTTAAAGCACAAGCGAAGTCGACTAAAGCATTTAAGCTTATATTTGAAATTGATCAACAATTTTCAGCTGTTTGTTTGTATTGGTCTGTGTTCGAGAATGGTTGATCATTTTCTGGGGTCTGACAATACGTAAGCTTGCTTCTTAGACAATATGCGATATCGGCTTGTGAGCCCTCAATCGCTGAAGATTAATTAAGTTTATAATTAATCACAGCTGTTAACGTGTAGTGATAAACAGCCTTTCACAGAAACTAAACCACCTCTATGAAAAACAAAAATTAAGTGCCTGGAAATGTTTACAAGCACCCAGCTGTCAAGGTGAGAAACGTTGACATTTTAAGACCTTTAAAGTGCCAGTTTTTTTTTTAAAGTTTCCTTTTTCAGTACAAAGAATGCTTAATTTATTAGCATTATTTCATATAATCTTACCTCTCATTTGGTGAAGGGACATCCATTTTGTTTTTATTATATATTATAATATAGATAAGACCCTGCGGGCACTCTGATTGGTCAAAAGCCCATGTTTTATCAGAGTATAAAACATAAAAAAAGCGTGTTTTATTGTTTTTCAGCACATTACATCTATATCATAAAGCAAATGAAGAAGCCTAAGCCATGTATTACACCGTGATAAAACACTCTGGACATTTGAGAACACTCGAGAAATGTAGAAAACACTTATGTGGCTTGTGTTTTCTACATTTCCTTTGTGTTCTCAAATGCCTGTTGTGTTTTATTGTGCAGTGTAATACCTGGCTTAGGCTTCTTTTGTTTGTTAAATACATAGATTTAGCCAAACTTAAAAGTGGAGCTCCTGGGCCGTGTTGTTTAAGGCCTGATTAAGCTAACCCAGAATAAGCAAGAATTTTCATTTGAGTTTTGTAACTTTGCAGTGAGCTTTTCTGTATATTGTTTGTCCTTCTGTTTGAGTTTGAACAATCTCAAAATGCACAAAACATAAGTAGTGAAAAACGTTTGTCTCCAAGAAAAATTTATACTTCGGTTAACTTTTAACCCTGTGTTAGGGTTAACCGGCTTCTGAACAACCCGGCCCTGTTTACATGAAGTTAACCTGACATGAGCCAGTCAGACACTATCTTACCCTTAACGGCTTCAGAACATGTTTCCAGGGCATTGTCCTGGTGGCTTCTGCACAAATGTGTAGTCTGTAACAATTATTTAGTCTTACCTACTGTAACTTTACCTTACCCTCCCTTATTGCGAGAGGATTAGCTCTTGTACTTTGTCAGTAAATTGGTGTCTCTCCTTGTGATTCGTTTAAGTCTACCTTTGTCTTGGCTGATCCGGTGTAGGGTGAGGAAATAAGTAAGGCTCTGCCAATGTGTTTGGGTTCTATGCCATGTCGGTGGGGAGATAAGTGCAGCATGTGGGTGTTTGACTGTGTGTGTATTTTGTTCTTGTTATATTTATCTTATTGTATTACTTCTACATTTACTATTTCCATGTAGAATAATGAGATTAATAAGTTATGATATTGGACCTACAAAAAGACAACTTTTGACAGCTTGTTAACAACAACAACAACAGATAACGACAAACTGAACATCATTGATTTCTCTAGAATGTGCTATTCATCAAACATGGATATGCAAAAGTCATTCAGCGTACAATGCTTTGTTAATGTACTTAATATTGTATACTGAAGAAGTTAAAATAACTTCAACAACTGATACTTTAACTGAAGAGTTAACTATTTCTCCAGCTCATGAAAGTCAGATAATTGTTGTGCTATTTCTATTTCCTTGGAAGTAATTCCTATGAATTGTAACAGGAAGGAAAAATTTTACTGATCTCTTGACACACAATGCCTACAGCTTCCACTTAATGATATAATCACTAGTTGAAACTTTGCAGTCCTAACTTTTGACCTGCTCTAGAGGTTATAATTTCTTAACAAACAGCTTTCTAGTTAATTTTCAATTAAGGAGTGACAACAACTTTTTCTTGGAAGTAAGTAGGAAGTGTGCTAAGTGAATTTCATTTTGATCAAATGGTCTTGGTTAGAGTGTGGTAACAAATAGGGGCCTTTATGTTGTGTAGATAAGTTGTTCTTGGAGGTGCAGTGACCTGGATCAGTGGTCCTGGTTCAATTTTACTTCAGATCAAATGGTCTTTGGTTAGAGTGTGGTGACAAATAGGGGCCTTTATGTTGTTTAGATAATTATTTTGTTCTTGGAGGTGCAGTGACCTGGATCAGTGGTCCTGGTTCAAGCCCTGAGAGGTGCGGTGACTTCAGATCTAGTGATCTGGGCCCTGGCCAGGATTATTGCATAGTGTTTTTGGGCAACACACTTTACAACAGCACCTCTCTCCACTCAGGTGTATAAGTGGTTACCAACAAATTTAATACTGGGAGGTCACCTTGTGATTGTCTAGCATTCCATCCAGGCAGGAATAGTTTGAAATACTCCTAGTTATTTCATGCTAAAGAAACTGATAAGCTCCAGTGATATGGACCTTTTTAAAGATTTGCCCTGAGGCAGGTGGGTATACAAAAGAACACTAGGTCCCCTACTCACTTGGCCTAACCCAGAGTTTACACATCCCCAATACAGCACTGGAATGTACTGCTCATCACCTAGGAGAGGAAGTGTAGCTGGAAAGTGTTATCGCAATATGACAAAATAATGGAGATAATCTGTTACTGACTAGCATTTCATCCAGGAGGAGCACAGATACCCATACATGTGGCTACATCATGCTGTAGAAACAGTTTAAGTTCCATAAGCATGGGATACTCTGGCCCAAGCATACATAGACTACCTAACAAGATATCGAAGGGATCAATACTGGCTTCACTGTTATGGAAGTTATCTCATAGTGTCTTTTACTTGCAGATCCTGCTGACAACATGAAAGACCTTTTGTACCAAATCACCACCAAAGAGATGATGTCCACAGTCAAACGAATGGGTCACATCAACAACTTCACAAAGGTATAATTTATCAGTGTGTACCACATACACACTCTCAACACTAGATTCATTTATCATACTTTTTGTAGGAGTTGCTGCAGTGGTCTTATGGTTGACATGTTAGTTTCTAGATCTTAGATCAGCTGATCCTTTGTGAGTGCTCATCTGGGAAGCTACTGTAACAGTTCTTTGACAAAACTGTTGATTCTTATTATTCCTCTCTCTTTCCAGGAGTGTGAAATTTTATTACTCCAGATGGTACTATTTCATCCTCATCTTTCCTTATAGCCCTCAGTGGGCCACAGGGCCACAGATCATACTATTTGCTAGCTAGTAATAGGCCTTGTGCATGCATGACTATGTTAGTTGTTAAAATTCACCCCCAATCCTCATTTATAGGGAGAATTTCCTTAAGGATTGTATTAAGTGCGAGCTCTTGTGTGTTCTTTTGATCTTTGCTTCTTCTGGAGTTCGTTCATGAGCAACAAACTAAAGCAAGGCTTGGGGGTGAAATTAGCAAGTGTGAGGTAACATATTTCAGAGCTCTCAAGTTGATTTGGTGGTAAAGAGTGAGATCTTTGATGGTGTAGCCGTTGTTTGTGATGCTGCAGGCGTCACCCTGCTAGGGGGTTCTGGGGGCATGCTCCCCCAGAAAATTTTGAAAAATGGAAGTAGCTGAGACGTGTTTTCCTTCATTCTGAGCAGAAATGTGATGCTGTGAAAGCAACTGTTTAGATCCCAGAATTTTCTTTTTATTGGATGATTTGTTTGGGTGAGTCTCACGCTCAATGCTTGAGACTTGAGAACTCTGCATAAATTATTTACATAAGGGCTGTATGATGGATCACTCTTAAGACAAAATCTTTATTTTTCTTTTGGATTTTTTAGACTACATTATGACTCAAATGTACTTTCAATTCCTTTTCAACAGTTAATTCAAAATGTGGGTGAGAATGCTAATTTTGGTTACTCTCTGGAGGAGATCATTAAATGGTAGGTGACATAATTACTCTTAAACAACACAAGCGTCAATGTAAACATCTACAATGCAAGTTCTTTCAAAATAATTCTTCTAGGTGAATGTCTTTCAGTGCCAGAAACTTCTTAACATCCAATCCTCTGCCCCTTCCTGTGATTAGTATGGGTAATCAAATGTTGAAATTTGAAAATAAAGGAATGAAGGAATGAAGGAATGAAGGAAATAATTTATCGCCCATTTTGGCAAAATTCTAATAATTCCCAGGCCTTTAGGTGAGGGGGAATTACATGTATTAGAATTTTGACAAATAATTGAAGTGAAGTTATTGCTTACTTTCAGTATACCATTTGATTACCTTTTTTATAATTTGTTTATTGTGTCAAGAAATTTACCACCAAATGTTGCTATGGCAAGTTTTTAATTATTTCATATGTGTGAAATTATAAATTAACGCTGGAATTTTGTGCCAACATTAAGGCTCAAGTAAATTGTTACCCATGAATGTTATTAAGTGCTCTTACAGAAGTTCTTAATTAATCTAGTAATAAGTCCATGTTACAGCGACATGTAAGTATTGTCCACATTGTTATTATTTTTAAGTGGCAGTCCCGCTAAAAGCGGTCCACTCGACTTTGGGACCAAAAATAATTTTCCTTCATTTTTTGTCAGTGAAAAGGGTTTGACACATATCCCCAGTAGATAAAAAAGCAATTTTAATTATTATTTTCCAATTCCTTATTTTTGCTTTGCTACGAGCCAAAATTGAATTTTGGCCGAACTGAGGTTG